ACGGCGGAGGACGGGAGGCTTCATCTGCTCTGCCCGGTCAGAGTAGTTTTTACACTCTGAGGTCCTCCCGTTGGAGGAAGGCTGACCAGCTGCTAGTGTGTTATGGGTCCCCCAGGGCCGGGCTCCCTGCATCCAAACATACGATTAGCAACTGGATTGTTCAGACTATTTCCCTGGCCTATCAGGTGCGCGGTTTGCCTTCACCTGTGGCTGTGAGGGCTCATTCTACCAGAGGCATGGCGGCCTCTCGAGCCCTCCTTTCCGGGGCCTCTTTGCAGGATGTTTGTTTAGCGGCTGGCTGGGCCACTCCGCACACATTCATTCGGTTTTACAGTCTTGACCTTCCTTCGGCACCTGGCACTCGTGCGCTCTCCTCTTAGTCGTGCCACTTTATTGCACACAGGGGCAGGCGGGGTTTTCGGCACGGTTTAGTGGGTATCTCGTTCCCATAGTGTCGTAACCGACGCAGTTCGAGTTCCCTCGAAGGGGAACGTCTCGGGTTACGTATGTAACCCTGGTTCCCCGAGAAGGGGAACGAGAGACTGCATCGGCCCGCCGCACCTCTCTCCCTGCCTGAAGCGCCTGCTTCATAGTTTAAGCTAATGATGAGTGTGTACAGGTGTGCTTTATACTCCTCCGGTTATTCCGTCACACCTTACCGTTCTAGCAACAAGCCAATAGGATTGGAGTGATTTCATTCACGTTCAGACCTGCTTCGCCTAGAGGCGTTCCCATAGTGTCGTAACCGACGCAGTCTCTCGTTCCCCTTCTCGGGGAACCAGGGTTACATACGTAACCCGAGACGTTTAATCCCGTGGTCCTTGGTTTTTTGGGGACAGGGATGATGGTGGAGGCTTTGAAGCAGGCTGGCACATGGCATGTCTCCAGTGTTAAAAATGTCTGAACACCGGAGACAGCTGATCAGCACAGTGCTTCAGGGTGGATGGGGAGACAGAGTCCGGCCCCGCTGCTTTGTGAGGTTTCTGCCTCCTGAACAGTCTGTTGATGTTCCTCTCTAGGATGGTAAGAGAGGGGGATGAGATGGTGGACTGTAGCCGATCAGTGGTGTGACGGGAGATGGTGTCAGGTCTGTCCCATTGTCTTTCAAAGCGACAGTAAAACTTGTTCAGCTCGTTGGCAAGGCGTGAGTCATTCATGGAGTAGGGGGATTTAGGTTTGTAGCTGGTGATCTGTCTGAATCCTCTCCAGACAGAAGCAGAGTCATTATTTGAGAACTGGTGTTGTAGTCTCTCTGCATACAGCTGTTTAGCTGTCTGAGCTTAGCTGTGAACCAGGGTTTGTCATTGTTATAACTCACCCTGGTGCGTGTTGGAATGCAGCTGTCCTCACAGAAGCTGATGTAGGACATCACAGCCTCTGTAAACTCATCAAATAGAGCTGTGACTCTCTGTCAGCCTGGCTACAGTGCTGAAAAGAAACTTTGGGTTGTTCCTATTTTCCTCTATTACTGACGAGTAGTACGCTGCTCTGGCATTACGGAGGGCCTTCCTATAAGTTTTAAGACTATCTTGCCAAATTAAACGAGAATTTTCCAGTTTGGTGGAACGCCAATTCCAAGTTTCCACGATATTTGCTTTAATTTGCGAGTTTCAGTATTATACCATGGAGCTAACCGTCTTTGTTTTATTATTTTCTTTTTTAGAGGGGCTACAGAGTCCAGTGTCATTCGCAGCGAGCCTGCAGCACTATCAACAAGATGATCGATTTGGGAGGGAATGAAATTAGCATAGGAGTCCTCCGTTACTTTGTGACTAGATAATGTATTTAGAGCTGATGGAATCGCATCCTTAAATTTAGCTACAGCACTATCAGACAGACATCTTGTATAGAAATTTTTGCCCAATGGTGTGTAGTTCAGCAATACAAAGTCAAACATTATCAAACAGTGGTCAGATAAAGAGGGATTCTGTGGGAACACCACTAAATGTTCAATTTCAATACCATACACCAAAACAAGGTCGAGGGTGTGGTTAAAACAGTGAGTCGGTTCATGAACACTCTGAGAGAAGCCAATGGAATCTAACAGAGAGATAAACGCAGTACTGAAGCTGTCATTCTCAACATCCACATGAATATTAAAATCCCCTACAATAATAACTTTGTCCGTTTTAAGGACTAAAGAGATAGATAAGAATTCAGAGTACGGACCAGGTGCTCGGTACACTATAAGAGAATTGGTTGCAGTGATTTCCAACTTGGGTGCGAAAGACTAAGAACAAGGTTTTCAAATGAGTTATAGTTTAGTTTAGGTTTAGAGCTGATTAGTAGGCTAGAGTCGAAGATAGCTGCAACTCCACCTCCTCGGCCTGTGCCTCGAGGAATGTGAGTATTAATATGACTGGGAGTGGTGGATTCATTTAGGCTAACATATTCTCCATCACCCAGCCAGGTTTCAGTAAGACCAAATAAATCAATATCATAATCTGATATTGGTTCATTTACTAGTACAGAGAGAGAGATCTGATGTTTAAGAGTCCACATTTAATTTTCCTATTCGTTTGCACTATTGCTCTTGTGGTTTTAATTTTTATGAGGTTTTTATGCACAGCTCCTCTTCTGTTTACCTTTGATTTAAATAATTTCGATGGTCGGGGGGGCAGACACCGTCACTATAGGATTTTCACTAAGTAACTCCTGAAATGGAGGAGCAGAGAAGTGTGTTAGACTGCGACTCTGCCTCCTGGTCTCAACTCTGGGTTGTCATGGATTTGGTCCACTAATAAACTTGGCCAGATTTCTAGAAATGAGAGCTGCTCCTTCCCAAGTGGGATGGATGCCGTCTCTCCGAATCAGACCAGGTCTTCCCCAGAAAGTCTGCCAATGATCTACATGAACTAAATAAATAAAATAAACAAAATGTCAACATATTTTGTAGAAACTTTTAAAGTTATCTGGTTAACTGTCTCAGTTTGTACCTCCTCGCCTCCTTGTTCTAAGTCTTATTCCCTCCCACCCGAGATGCGAGTCGAGGAGTCGAGGAGTCGAGGAGGAGACGCGAGGAGAGAGGAGTTGAGGAAACAGGCATTTAACAAAATGAGATGTCCTTGCCTTGGAGCTGTCATTTTATAGCGACGTCAGTTAAAGATGACCTGTTGCTGCATCTTCTGTCCACTGTTTCAGCCTGCTGCTGTGATCGGTGTCAGAGGAGCAGACCAGCTGTCAACACTAATACATAAAGGCTACAGATCATATCTTCACAATCCAGAAACATGTCTGTCAACATTATGACATGTAGAAACATCTCGAGGAACACTCACAGATTACGGTAGCGCTACACAGAAATCCAGAAACTTCTTTTGTCGGAGCGCCTTTTGCCTGTATACATGAGATAATTTCAGCCCTCAGTTTGAGGAGGTGAGCATTTTATCAGTCTCTTTCACACAGTAACATTTATCTTATATAGCCCCAATTACAACTGTCATCACAGGACTGTACTGTTGAAATGACATGTGCAGACTACATACTACATACACTATTATTAAAACATGAAATACAGCAGACCAGTGGTGAATGCTCTGGTTGATTTTACAGCCTAATAATTTAAGGTCAGCAGCTGATTGCACTCAGTTCGGAGAGTATCTGATACTGGTACTCATAATTCATCCATATGCCCAACCCCAAACTAATTATTTTCTCAGATTTAGAGATCAGCACCTGCATGGACATTGTTTTCTTTTAGAATTTACATTAATGATTAGAAAGACTGCTGTCAGTAATTTAAGCGTTTCCATGCGTGCAGTATGTCACAGCAAATATCATGGGACAAAACAAAAACACTTGCAGTAACAAACTTGACAGGACAGATGGAAATTCTCCCAAAGCTTCCGAAATATATGTTTAGATGCTCTGATGGAGCTCGGGATTCATCAAGAGAACGGCTGCTTTACTCCAAACAGTTTCACTGATTGAACCTGGACTGTGTGAGAGACCTTTTGGATTAGATCCTGATCGATCCTGTCAGCGTGTTGGAAGATTTAAATATTAATTTATGTTGCTGTGCCTCATACGTAATTGTGCATAGAGTCTCTCTTAATGATGAAATGCTTCATCCTATTTCACTCAGACACTATTTACAGTGTTAATTTTTAGGATCCTGTCTGCCCATCCACACATCACATATAATGATCAACAATAAAAACATCAATAATATCAAAGTGAAATGACATAAAGGAATGTGGTTAGAACAGCGCTTTATGACGCACTACACAAACGGTGAAGGGCTGAGAGTTTGATCACACATTTGATCATCTAGAGTCCTGCTCCTGCCATGGGTTGGTTGTATGGTCCAGCAAAGACTTCCACAAAGGATACACTGGTGTACAGCCATTTAAAAATTATGAAAGAAATATCACAGCTGATAATGGTTTACAGGTACATGTGAAATTTTAGTGGGACCAGTGCTCTTACTACCCATGTTGTGTGCAATGACAGCTGTTTTGGAGCTGCTGGAGAACCTCACAGAGTTGACACAATCTGTGATTTCTGTCATTTTGACTTGTTCTTTGCCATTCTTTACATTGCCAGGTGTAATTTATGGTGGAGGCATGTACAAGTATCAATATGCACACACAACTGATTCAGTGCGTATCTAGGTCCACTTATAACTAACTTTGGCAGTGGAAATTCCAGTTCCATAATGATTGAGATTTATAAAACAGAGCATACATGTAACTTCTGATACAAATCTGTATTTACTGTCTGCAGTTAAATACCACCATGTGTGCCATATTAACAGTGAAAGTAGAATTTAAAGGAGTGGGTGAGGAATACAGTTTGAAACAGTTATTCATATCAAGTATAACTGCATGTCAGATGTATGAGACTGCAATACAAAGTATAATCAAAAGGTAAAAGGTATTTTAAATGACAGCTATTAAACAGCTGTGATGATCTGTCATGCGAAAATTATGTCAGAACTTTTTTATTTTAATTTTTTTTAATCTTACGTTTAATTATGTCAGAATTGAAGACAGGTGACATGGTGCACAAGAACCTTTTTATTTTCTGCACTGAATTGAAAAACATTTGTACACTCTATTTCTGCAGATAGGGGACATATTTTTGACATTGCTAAATGTCTTTAGGAACATTAGGAATTCATCAAAACATTCCAGATGAAAGAAATGTACAAAACAATTCCTTCATTGCCATAAAAACCAAATTTGCTGAGTTGTAATGTCTGTATTTAATACTGTGCAAAATGTATCTATCATATTGAAATGGCATTCAGTCAGTCAGCGGCAGAGGAGGAATGATGTGAAAATAATTGATATTCCACAGTCTCTTATTGTCCACATTCACATCAAAAAGCCCAACTAAAAAAAACAAAGGCATTTCAGGATTGCAATTACGTATCTACAAAATCTGAATTTTAACAACCTAGCTATGTACACTGTACAGAGATTTAAACACAAACATACATCTTTCAAGAAGAAATCAGGCAGATTATAGAACAATACAGTGATGATACGAAGCAGTCAGATGACCTGGACCCGGATAAGTGATTGACTTCTGTCTGCAGACATGGTGAAGATGCTACAAAGTAGCAAATGATAACTGGTCTGTACTTGTATAGCGCCTTTCCAACCACTGAAAGCTTTTACACACATTCACGCACATTCATTCACTGATGGCAGAGGGTAAGGTGCCCTCAGAAACAGAAGTGAATACATTCACACATTAATATATGGCACAGCCATCGGTTGCAATTTGGGATTAAGTATCTTGCCCAGGGATACTTCGACATGCACATTGGGGGAGTGGGATGAAACCACCGACACTCTGAAACAGAGGAATGTAGTGCCGCTAAAATGTGTCTGCTCCACATGGACAATAAACACCAAACAAATTGAGGGAGAGTAGATAATATATGGTCACCAACTCAGGCTCACAGCATAATGCAGCTGGTGTTCGTCAATTATTTTCAACTCTGCAGTGGCATTGTGTCCTATATAATGATTTTTCACCATGAATTAACAATTACTGTAGGATTTTGAAATATGGCAATTTCATCAAAAACAGTATGACAAGCCAACATCAAAACAATAGTGCAACATAAAAAAAAACAATTTCACAAAACAAAATGACTGATGCTAAGAGTGGCTGTGGTTGCAAATAGAATTAGCATTTCTATCATAACATTTCTACTTACAGTAACTATCTTTTTATCTGAAGATAAAGTATTTTCTTTTCTTAATATTTTTTTTACAAGATAACAATTAAAATCCAGCAAGATGGAGCAGAGCATCAGTTTAGACAGAACACCTAATGCCAACACTGCTACAGCTTCCTCCACAACCCCAGTCTCCTTATGTGCTACATTTTGTTGATTTACCAAAATTTAAAGTTCATGTTTATGAAGTGGGATTAGTTCTCCAGCAGAATCATTGTTGCCACTCCATACAGCATGTATCAGATACTGTATATATGTTTTGTTTGTGTAATATTAATCTGAAAAGAGCAAAGAGAAAGAGCAATATTTCCCAATTAAGTGTAGTGAAGTAGCTGTATAAAGCTGCATACAGTGAATAGTAATAATTCATACTGACTGCATAGAAATGACGTACCTCAAAATTGAACTTAACTAAAGTACTTGAGAAAAGGTACTTACTTTACACCGCTGCTAACATTTGGCAATGAGATAAGACAACAATAAGTTCATCTTGATATCAAGCCTCCACTTACATTTTATCCCTCAGTCTAAAGTAGTCCTGATCACTTTAAAACAATTTTGGGGTTATATTAGAATTAAATGATTTGTCCTCATGACAAAAATAAGATAATTATCTTGAGTATACAAATATATTCATGTATGACACAGTGCTTATTTTTGTCATGAGGACAAATCATATAATTCCTTACAATACATTAGCAACTACAGTAGCTCTTGGTTTCCGCACAAAACTAGGTACAAAAAAAATGAAGCTGGAAAATCAATGATACATTGAACCTTTTGGGCTACTGAGAGAGGATAACTGAAGATTCATGGCTTAATGCAGTACTTGATTTTTGGGGGGGAAGGAGCAAGCACATTCCACATTTAAACAAATAAATGGCTTTTTGAAATGGGGCCAGAACACTGCTTCATACTTATTCACCAGTAAGGTTATACTATTTTACAAAGTCTGTAGCTCAAAGCACTAAAAAGTTTACAAATCCAAGAAGGAAAAAAGGAAAATGGGGATCTGTTTGATTTTTTTTTTTTTTCGAAAGAAGAGGTCTGATGGGCTTCTGTGAAGGAGCAGGGAACCAAACAACTTGTTCACTTACATTATTGTCCCTTCTCTTTTGTAAATTTTTTTCTATTGCAGATGTAAATTTCAATATCTTTTGGACTAGTCTGATTCACATTTCACATTACAAATGACTCCTTATTGGAACAGGAAGGGCACTTCTGATTGTTCTGCACAGCGGCAACAGGACTGACAACACTCAGTTTGTTGTTTATGGTAAAACTTAACACTCCCATTTCTGGACAGAGTTTCATGAGACTCTAGGAGTTGAAACAAGTGAAATGTGGTGTTAAATATGCGGTTTTAAGGTTACTGTTATAGTCTATGGTTGTATCAGCATCCCCTGGGATAACATCCGCTTATGTGTCTCCATCCGTTCAGTCACACCTCAGTCTGTTGCTGTGAGTCAGTAATGATGGTCACCCCTCGAGGAAGCTCGTCCATACTGTCAAAGTCGCCGCTATGTTCAGAGTCGTCCAGCCCACAGGGGATCGACATGTCTGAGGCTGATGATGCATCACCAGATTGTCGCATATTTAACGACACAGAGTTATCAGTGTTTCCTGGGGTTGAAGTGCTGAAATCCCCGTGTGGTACTTCCCCCAGGGGCAGCTGATGGGGCGGCAGGTATTGGCTGGGGTGGAAATGTGGCCTGGCATGCTGACTTCCAGTGCTGCCAGAGCTCAGGGTGCTTTCCTTGGATACTGGTGGGTTGGCTGCTGTGTAAGACTCAGGATAATCCTCACCTGTGGGCAGCGGAGGTGGCAACTGGTCTTGGTTCAAGAACTCTTCTTCGTGGGGAGGGGGGTAGTCGCTGTCGATGTCATAGCCTCCGAGGTAGTAGTCTGACTCAAGTTCACGGGTGCTTCCTCCAAGGTGGGGGGCTGAGCCTGCTACATTGCTGCCAGGATGTGCCTCATAGCCTGGCACCTCTTCAATGTCTGACAGCCTGGTGCTCGGCATCCAGTCGGACGTGTCCCAGTGATACGCTGAATAGTAGAAGGGGAGATGGTTAGTAACAATCTGCACTGTGAAAATGGTAAGCGCCAACAGTGGCCCAAATTGGAACAGCCAACAAACTAATCCTGTACAGCAGACATGCCTTCACTATGCACCAGGCATGTTAGACTCAGCAACAACATCAACCATGCACAGAGTCCCTGAAGGTCAGGTACATGACAAGGCACAACCTGTACAGAAAACATGAGGTCATGTTAGGGTTACATGCACAACAGAAGCCTTTGAGGGTCGGGGGGCACAGGTGTCACAGCATGCTAAGCTTCATGGAGAATTGCAGCACTCAAACCATGTGACAGGCTCAAAAAACACAGCAATATTTGATTCAGGATGTTAGAGTGATACACCAGATATCTGGTAGATTTTCTTACTGGCCAATGTAACAAAGTGATAAAAAACGTGTTGTCAGTGGGTTGTTTGCTCCGATGCACCCTTGTTGCCACTTAAACGCTTGATTCAGAAACTTAAATATGCAGTAGGGATATAATGATTAAGTGTCCCATTTCAGCAACTATCCTTGCCAAAATATCAGTGGTGTAACGGTACAGTCTGGTTTGTACCTCAGTTTTAGGGTCACGGTTTAGGACATTTTCGGTACAGCAGGGAAAACAAAGAAATGTAGAAAATAAATGTAGAAAATAAATGTTTTTGTTATTTTGAAAAAATTTAAACATTCAATATTCTAACTGTAAAGGTTAAGACACTCAAATACTGGCATATTGATAATAAAAAAATAAATAACACAAATATGGTTTGTGTTTCCGCACAAAACTAGGTACAAAAATAATGAAGCTGGAAAATCAATGATACATTGAACCTTTTGGGCTACTGAGAGAGGATATATATCTTATATACTATATATTCTGTATACTCTGTGACCAAGAATGGGCCCATATTTGCAGCGATAAACACTCCTATGGCATTATTTATTGCGGAGAGAAGGATTCGCCTTCCAGTGTGTTTTTTCTCATTACGCTAATCAACACATTTGCGTGATGTCATTGTAAATGTTATGTTTGAAGTGTATCCACAGACATATCCAACTTTAGTTAAACAATGTCGGCATACAATTTGTCCATTTTTGCTATAACTAACCTGGAAACCGTAATGGATCCAAACTCATTTGTGTTTGCCATTCAGAGGCAGTGAAAATACATGATTAACGATATTCAGGTTCAGATTATCTCCTTGACTTACCTGGTTAACGAGGCTAAGCCGACTAGCATGCTACAGCTGACAAGACAACAACTGGTGCACTGCCAAAACTTTCCAGCTAAAACTCGCGAGTCAACATAAATATGACCATTATGACACTAAATGTTTGGCTCACAGGGTGTACTGAACCAAGGAATTCACATAGTAAATGTCCTGTACTGAAAGGTTCGGGATGAATACATCAGTACACCCCGAAAGAATACTGACAGGATTGGTTGTTCGTTCCATTGTCTACCTACAGTATGTTTTCCTATAAATTGACTTATTGTGGTTCATTATCAGAAGCAAAAGCAGAAGTAACATTATATTGCTATTGTTATTAAACCTCGGCGCTAGGAGGTTGTGTCTGATGGTTGGAACAGGTGACTGCAGTACACATCCCTTCTTCTACTAACAGTCGATGCTGGTTTCTTTTCACCATGATCCCCATCTTACTCTAACTTTACCCAGATAGTTTTAGTTGCCTGATCAACTTCACCAAACTGCAAACATAAAAGAGGTAGATCAGAAACATATGAATGATATTTGGGTCTTGTAGCTTGTTTTGGAAGGCAGTGAAAAACAATGATGGCTTGTTTGGCATGTCATTCTACAGACAGGGACGCCAGATCAAAAAACTCTCATATGGCTCTTTTTGGAAGGAAATGACAAACAAACTAGGGGGTGATGTGGTTTCTGAACTTACCACCAGGAAGCTGTAGCCTAAAGTCAATTAGTGATGAACATGTCCATGTCCAGAGTGCTAACAACAGCCAATGGTATGCCTGGCTTCCATTATTTACATCTTATTGGTCCAGTTTTGTAAATAATTTACTGGTGATAGATAACCACCAAAACACCAAAAAAAGATAAATAGTATGTCACATGATTTTCTGACTGCTAGTTGATGAAGACTGACCCAATGCAGCTTAAAGAAGTAACAACCAGCAGTCTTACATCATAATAAATTAGCTGTCTCTTCCAAATTCAAGCAAAAGGCTGATTTCTTGACCACATTTCTTGGCAGAACCTTTGGAATGGGATAGACTTGTTAATCCAATAAAACATATTCTGTCTTGAATGAAAACTTTGAAAGAGAGGGAAATAGGACCCAGTTAGGTTATTGAGCACTGGAGCCAACAATCTACTGACATAGCACCAGTAATGATTCTCATCTCAAAGCTAGAAAGATAATCTACCCAAAACTCTGCAGATTAACTTAACTGAGGCAATATCAGAGCAAATGGTGAGTTAAAACAAAAACAATGCATCAAACAAAGAGACATCCATGCATCAAAGCAGAACACAAACCGTGGGAAGACTGAGGCTGTGAAAAGTTCCTCGCACAACAACTAGTAGCATGTACCATTTGGACTGGAGATAAAAATCGAAAGTGACATGGGGGGATGGAAAAAGTTGGTGCCAGGGAGTGGGGGGGTTTCTGGGCTGGGCTGCACATCACAATGAGTGGCCAACAAGCTTTGTGAGCGGTGGAAAATCACATCAAATCCCACATACACACACACACACACACACACACACACACACACAGGAAAGGAAAGGTATGAGCAAAGTATGGAAGTATGAAAGTACAGCTGGGTATACACAGAGGTAGAGAGATACAGGGTGTAGACAAAATAATTTCAGGGTTGATAGACTAGCAGAGATGAAAAGTGTTGATTCACGATTTTATTTTCACGCAAACTCTATCTGGGGTCAATGCCTGACTATAGGTCTGATACATGCATTACTATATTCCTTAACTCATTATCAGTGGCCAGTGGTGGAAGAAGTACTCAATTTTTCTACTTAAGTAAAAGTACAGATAGCACATGAAAAATGTTACTCAAGTAAAAGTAAAAGTCATCCAGTATAAACCTACTCCAGTAAAAGTAAAAAAGTACCTGGTTTTAAAAATACTTAAGTAATCAAAAGTAAAAGTACTACACATTCAAGTCTATTGAGCTTACAAAAAGCAATCTATCTTCTTAAATTCACTAAGAAACATGTGAATACAGCATTATAAGTTGTAGTGAATCACAATAAGGAAAACGCAGGAGTCGCAAGAGGACAAGTGGATATTTCCTATATGTGGGGAGGATAAGTCTGCGTTATTGCTCTGCTGTTGTGGTAGTATCCCCTTCAGAACGTCTGACAGACACAGAACCCCATTTGGGACTTTGGGTATGTTAAGATGAAACAAGGAGGCGGAAACCAAAACTATTCACAATATCACCAAACATGTTAACACACATGTTAACTTCAGCACCTCTCATAAAGTGCAACTCACAGTCCCAAACAGCAAAGTTGGCTTCAGTTTTTAGATGTTTATATTGCAAAACTCTACCAGCTACGTTACACCTGACACCACTGAGCTCTCATTACAATCCTCCCTCTGTAAGAAGCCTGAATGGAAACCTTCTAGAAAAACCCAGTGCTGGTTTGAACAGACCACTGCGCACTAACACAGACCTCATGAAGTCTGATAAGACTGGGGGCCAATCTGAGCTGCTTGGATCTGATGCTGGCTGTACATCTCTCGCTGTGCTCGTACTGGCTGAGCCTGCCTGTGTTTCACCTGGGTCTGTGGGACTTGCTAAAGAAGTCTGTACTGGGTGTGTGCAGATACTGGCTGAGGCTGGATGTGGATCAGCTGTGCTTATACTGGCTGACTGGCTGGAGTCTGTTCCTGTACTGGCTGATGATCCCACATCTACTCTACTGACAAACTTCAGCATAGTCCCTGTAAATTATATATATTTTCTATATATTAATTTTATCAGCTGCATCAGGCCCATTCAAACCAGGTTTCTTTAGTACATTTTCAAATATAAAATACTATTTATAAAATGACTTGCCTGAATATGTGATGCGAATTATTTACTGAGATGTGCGTCGTTCTGTCCAGCTAATCAACATTTCAATAGTCAATGTGAATCCACTGTCTCCCATCTTGCATTAGTCCATAGTTGTAACTAAACTTCACTGTCTTGTTTTAAATGATGTATGAGCAGTGCCCTCACATCCTGTCTCTGGACTGGTCCCACAGATGTTTCTTGCTCGAATGCATGAGTTTAATTTTGTGCACTTGTATATGAATGTATTTCCATGCTCAATGTGGTCATCTTTCTGAGCTACAGTTTATAAACGCAGTGGCCCGTCTGCGTTTATCAAAAGAGTTGGATTTCACTCTAACATTGTTCAGTCACAGTCTGGCTACAACCAAGACACGACAGACCAGGAGCTGTGCTGCTCAGCTGGTTAGCAGGACAGACAGAGAAAGAGAGATTCACTGCAGCTGCACATTAGGCATAGGTGTGATCTGCTGACTTGGAGAGGAGAGAACACAAGTTTACCTGGCTACTTTTCCCGCAGTTCACTCTCAGCCTAGAAGGATAGTCCCTCTTCATCCTCTCATCCAGCTCTGCGCTGGACTGTCACTATATATAACCGTTCTCATCTCAGGATGTCCAATACATACACTTTCAGAATTTTGACATTAAAAGGTACCCATTAGCGTCTGTGGGAGAGGGTGTCTCTACGTTCGTGTTAAAAGTGTCCCCCGAAACCCCCTCCCTTACCGTAACCATCAGAAATGTTCATGCCTAAACCTAAGTCACTGACTTTAAGCATGTTGACAGGCTTCCATACAGCTGTTCACATCGGCCTCACGGCCGGTAGGGTTAGCCTCCTTTGTGCTGCTGTGATGTAGCAAACGGTGGCGTTTCGTACGGACGCTGAAGGGTATCTTTAGTGTCAAATAATTACGTTTTGTCAT